GCCTGCTATGCTATGCATAGGAAATATCCGAGGAAATATCCCTACGTAGATTTTCTTGAATATCTCGAAAAATACTAATCCGATTTTGACGTTTCCGGAGTTTGAAGGGACAATAAAATCGTCAAAATAGATATTTCCTATGCATATACCATAGCAGGAGCTACGTACTTTGACAAGCTATACCTGCTATCATAGACATACGATCCTCTTTACATTTTAAATTTTTTTTGAAATGATGATACCTTCAAAATATTGGAATTTGGTTGAAATTTACGGAGGCCTATTTTCAATGTTAAAAATGTAAAAAAATTATTTCACTTTTAAATTAAAACTCAATTTACTTAGGTTATCTTATTTAAAAATGTTGAAATGACAAAAATCTGGTTTCAATTCTGAATCAAAGTAAATCACCTAATTGGGCTTTTAGTCTAAGAGCCAGTGAACTTTTAGCGTAAAAAGTTGCCGATGGACAATTTCTTGCTTAAACGATGTAGTTTTATCCTCCGCGATCAAAAACCATAGTCTGGCAGCATGTGGTGGGGAAGTTTGTCGTAGGCATAATTAATTAGTCATTAAAAAATTCACCAAATTCGAAATACTTGCCGATGGTCAATTTTTGCGGCATATCATTTAAAAATGTGCCACTAACAAGGCTGTAATAATGCCAGACGGTTTTCGCGGGTTTAAAGCCTTGACAGACGCTCCCAAAATGCAAAAAAAATATAAAAAAATCGAAAAACTTGCCGAAACCTGTTTTTTTTACATTAAAGAGAAAAAAATTGCTAATCGAATAAACCTAATGCGGGACGGTTTTATCGAGGATTAATCCTTGCCAGACGACGCCGAAGTTCGTTATTTTACGCGTTCGTGAACGCACATATTATCCTCTCCACGCGTCTGGGAGCGGATAATATGCCGTGGCCACCTGTCGGTGATCTCGTATGAGAGCAAATGAGATGGAAAGACAAGGAATGAGTGGAACAAAAGCGTTTGTATAATAATACATCAATGAATGAACTATACCTACCGGGTGTCCCACCGAAAACTGTCAATGGCCTATATTTTGAAAACTGTAATCGATAAAAAAAAGAAAAATCGTTTGGAGAGTTGGAAGGGGGAACCAAAACAAGGTACTTTTCAGCTCTCCGCGAAATTTTCCTCCGGCTGTAGCCACCCTAACCTCAAAATCCTAAATGGTACTATAGGTCATGGTGTTGTGGAGTTTCCACAACTTTGAAACTTGAGGTTTGCGAAGAAGGTTCTGGGTCGTATCCGGCGTAAACAAGAAAAAAAACAAGTTAAATCCTTAGATCACTACTAGAATTTATTACTTAATTGGTTGAGAAAATTAATATACTGAAGCCACTGTGCGTATATTGTGTGACGTGAGTAGCAGAGATTAATACATGGTTATGTGGAAATTAACATTACTACTACTGCTGCTTGCTTAGCGACAAACAGTTTCGTTGCCAATCTAGTCACGTGACAAAATGATGGTTTAAAATTATAAAGTAACCTACTTTTAGGTGGCAACCACGGTTTGCTGCTTCAGCATTCAGCATTTACTAGAAAATAGAATATAATAAGTTGCATAAAATGTATTACAATGTTTTATGTTTAAATATAATTATGACTTAAAATGAAGGCTTAAACTAAGTAAAGGACAATCAACGATAATTGATATTGACTTTACAACAATGGGATGATTCAATTTTCTAAATGGACCTGTAAAAAAAAATTATCCAGATTCAAATGTGAGTCTAATTTTGATGAAAACCTCATTTGATCTGGTGGAACAGATAAATGTGATTTAAGATTTTATACAAAATTAATAACATGGAGACTTTTGAAAAAATCATCAAGGTTTTATTTATTCGAACCCCTTTCCTCTCACTGTATCTGACAGTGTTCACCTCCTCAAGGGGGCAAAGTTGTTCACTCGTATGGGCTAATTTCTGACAATTTAAAATTGTATCTAGATAATTTTTTTATGCAGATTCGTTTAGAGAATTAAAAAACCTCTCAAACAAGGTACCACATGACCTATAGTCCAATTTAAGATTTTGAGGTTAAGGTGCCTACCGCCGGAGTGGTGGTTCGGGGAGACCTGAAAAGTACCTTTCTTTGGTTCCCCCTTCAAACGGGTTTTCTCTCTATCGATTAGTGCTTTCAAGATATAGGCCATTGACAGCTTTCGGTGGGACGCCCGGTATACTACACGTAACAGGAATGGATCCCACCGTTGTCGGACATGGCATTTGTCTCTCTCTTAGTGTGTCCAAAGATAGCTATATACTGATGGCTACTTTTCTCTTTCTACACCTTTTCCAATAGTAATTCAGAAAGCGGAAAATGTATTTGAGAAAGGGAAATTAAATTTCAGAAAATGGAAATTGTAATTCAGAATAGGAAGTTAATATTCAGAATATGGAATTTGAAATTCAGAAAAGGAACATAATATTCAGAAATGGGAATTTGTAATTCAGAATAGGAATATTTAATTCAGAAAGGAGAAATTTAATTCCAGAAAATGTAAATTGTAATTCAGATATGCAATTTTGAAAATCGGAATTAGGAAAATGTAATTCAGAATTGATAACGTGTAGGTACTTCAGAATCATGAAATACCTTTGAGTGTTTTTTTTTTTTTTTAATTTTTAATCTTGTGTCGCTAAACACGGGATTGTTATCCCCGTTTATTAATTTACCGTCAGTAGAGTTTTACATAAGAATGTTCTTTGCGAATCCAAATAAAAAAATCGTATTCATACAAGTTTTTATTCAGTAGGTACCTACCTATACCTAAGAACATAATTAAATTTTTATGAAAAATGGTGAAAATCAACGTACTTCTAAAAAAATTACCAAAAACTAAGTTGATAACTGATAACTTAATTTCCTAAAATGCAATTCAAAATTTCAGTCACTGACCAACTGGCATTTCCTATAAAGCTAGCCACAGGCCACGGCATGGAAAGTGGTTGAGTGTTGGGTGGTTCTCTCACTCTCTGTACCTGTGCTCTGTATCTCTGTACATACATAACTTATCGTAAGGTACATATTATACTTTTCTGAATTACAAATTCCATTATCTGAAATTAAATTTTCACCTTCTGAAGTACAATTTCCCTTTTCTAAATTATAATTTACGGTTTCTGAATTTCAATTTACTATTCTAAATTACAATCTTGTTTTTCTGAATTTCAACTTCCTAATCTGAATTTAATTTTCCCTATTCTGAAATTAAAATTACGATTCAAAAATTCAATTTCTCTTTTCTGAATTAAAAGCTCCTATTCTGAAATACATGTTCCCTTCTCTGAAATTAAACTATGATTTTCTGAATTACAATTGAAAAAGGTGTAATTCATTGCTGTGAGGTTTGGTATATTCCTAACCCCAAATAATTTTTTTTTTTTGTACTATCTCAATTTTATAAATCGGCGCGACCATTCCAGGTACCTACGTATACTTTATGTATTATTGTAATATAATTATATTTCTTTTTTTTCTGTTAATTTATTAATGAAATAAAATAATTAAATAGTGAACAATGAATTGACATGAAATAAAATATAAATTATCGATATATTATAAATGTATTGAAATGTCAAAAAAAGAATGAGCTAGGTTTTATGTATGATTTTATGTAATAATGATTTTTTCTTTCTAAATACGACCCACCCATCCATACTATGAGAGCTTATTACGATAATGTAACCCATTTTAGCCTATTTGAGTTACGTTATAAGTTGTATTATCGTACTAGTGATGTATTGAGCTCCTTATATCATTAGTCATTTAATAGGCTCATTACGTAACTCATTTTTTATTTATGAATATTAAAAGTAGAACTAATACCTGATGCTGCTGATAGTGTTGCTTGAAGTCCTTGTTGAGAAAATATTTTCTTTCAGCCTTGAGCTTCAAGCTCACCGAATAATCTGTTGTGAAAAATCAAAACCATCCAATACATAAAACAAAGATCTGAGTTGTAGCTAAAATGTATATCACACGTACGGTAACGCTCAATATAGTACTCGTGTGGTTACCACGACTCCGTCTACAGCCTCGTCGTGACAATATTTACATGCGATTCACAATTTTTTTCTTATAATTAAAAAAAAAAATGTTTCGGCAAGTATTTCGAAAATTTTATATTTTTTTTGCAATCTGGGGGCGTCTGGCAAGGCTTTAAACCCGCGAAAATCGTCTGGCATTATTACAGCCTTGTTAAGGGAACTTTTTTGAATGATATGCCGCAAAAATTGACCATCGGCAAATAGTTCGATTTTCGTGAATTTTTTAATGACTTATTAATTATGCCTATGCCAAACTTCCCCATTACATGCTGCCAGACTATGGTTTTCGATCTCGGGGGATAATATTACATCGTTCAAGCATGAAATTTTCCATCGGCAACTTTTTACGGAAAAAAATTCACTGGCTATTAGACTATTTGGTAGATAACCATTGAAAATCTAAAATCACACATTTGACACATTGTGACGATTTCGGTACCATATTTCCATATTGGAGAAAAAAAGAATTTAGAGGACATTCGGACATTCAAAATATGTGATCGGGGTGGAATCACCCGTATGAACCCATTTTCATTTGCTTGTCTTATCCCTAAGTAATATACATATTACAAAATATCCCCTAGTTTTTCGGAACATTTTAGAACCGTATTCTAAAAATCGTAGCGTGATGAAATTCCACCCTCTCCTACCTATTTGTCGATAATTAGCCGATAAGGTTGAAATTAAGTTTCTTCTATTAACGGGAAACATATTTCGTAAAGTTATAGACCACGTTTCAATAACCTATTGAAAGTTCGTCGGAAGCATTCAATCAGTCTTTTATCAAATCCAAAGCGTTCCATTTAAAAAAATTCGCAAAATTTCCCAATAATAATAAGCGGAACTAATTAAATTTGCTTGTCAATAAGTATATAATAGAAAAATACGTATTAACCATATGTGTATGCAAAGATAAAGGACACAGAAACCTACTAAAATATGTGCAGTGGTTTTTGTACTAAATGGTCAATAATTCCCCAGTGTTTTCCTTCAGGGCGCAGACGCTAGACGACAAGTTGGGAAAACGCAGTGACGCCGAAGCGACGATTGATCCCCAGTTTTCCAGTTGTGGGCCGCGGTTGGAAAACTTGTTCGATATTTTAATTGAAAACATTATTTTTTTAGTTTTTTTTTTAGCTCAAATAGAAATAATTAACTCTAGAATAGGGCGACTAAAAAAAGGATGAGTCATTATAAGGTAAGTGTATGCACGTTCTAAGGTTTCCCCTGCCGCCATAGTATCCTGCCTAAAGGATGCATTTTGGGTCAGGATTTGTAAATCAATATAAGCTTTAGCGTTTACAACAATGACAAAAATGACCTAAACGTTGTAACAACGTAAAGGTTTTCTATCAAAATAATTGTGTATTCAATAAAAAAACGGCAATTATTGTCTAAATATTGCAGAAGTAGGACGTTTCTTTTGTTCTTTATTCTAATGGCAAGTTCTTGGCATTAAAATTAGTTCATCGAAATTAATAATAACGAGTAGATTTTTCACGATAGGTTCCTCATCATTCTTAAAATGCATAGGTATACCAGTGTATTTGTTTATAGGTAATTATCTACTTATCTGTTATAGTTTTCCTGTATCATGTTGACAGATTTTTGTGTCCAAATGCGTCAAATTTAACTTTAATAGGTACCTATTTTATTTGATCGTTTTGCCGATTTTCTTTTCTGTGACAGATGGTCCACAAAGTGACGTCATAACAGTTCCGGCTTTCGAATGTTTAGTGTTTGTTACGATAGTCCAAAAATCTTCTTCTGTCTGTCAATTTTTATTTTGTCTGTTGCAATTTAATTTTTTTCAGAACCCCCAATTATGATTATCCAGCAAAATAATTTTATCATATCATACAAGCTGTTTTTTAATTAGGTAGGAATTTAATATAAAAATTGTGAAATTAAAGTCAATAGAAAATTGAGCAATATGACGTTTTTATTAGCTCAGCATGTTATATTCCTAATAGCAATTCAATGGTATCAGTTGGAATCATACAATTACTCCAAAAATCTTTATTTTTCTTTGACATTTTTTCAAATAGGAACAATAACCGATTAAATTCACTTTTGTTTTTGTTTTTCCTTTAATGACCAAAAATTTCGGTGATGAGCTTAAATTTAGATCATAATATGATAAGTATCAAGTAACTAAGTAGGGGAGAGTTGGACAAAACCGGGTATCAATTCAAAAACTGACTATATTTTTATTATCACTTTAGAGTAACTAAAGTTTGTTGTATGTATATTGGAATATGCCTGAATGAATTAGGTCTGATTTACCCGTGTGGATTTTTATAAGCATTCCTAATTATTATTTTTTCAAATTCTGATAAAAAACTCGGTTTTCTCCAACCGGCATTAAAAACCCGAACCAATACTTGAATACCATGGAAATAGGGGAATAGAGAAAAACTAAAACATTTATTGAAAATATGTGAACAAAAAATTAAAAAGTGTTGAACAGAAGTGAAATCGCAAATAAAAACTGGTCTAGTCTTCAAAAGGCATAGAGGGCAAAAATAAAACATCTGTTAGAAATAAATTTTTTGTTCACATCAAAAAACAAAAAATCCAAAAGGTACCTATGAACAGAAATCGCGAATAAAAACTTCATCTCAGGCACTACAGGCTACATTTAATCCAGCCTTCGTTTAACTTAAGAGTTTCGGAGCAATTACTTAAAACACGCATCGTCATTATCAACTTCTTCCTTCGAACTATCAAAATCTTAATAGGTAATTCCGAAACCAACTTGTTTTTAGTTTTTTTTTCCTTTTTGTTTCATTATTCAGCATTAACTTATGCGGTGGAAAGTTGGAAAGAATTTTTGCATGGTGTTGTGATCGCTGCCACCAATGTTGTGTTCTGGTCACAAATGTTGTAGTCACTCGAATCTGAAATAACTCTTACTCGGTTGGGACGTTTTCAGTATATTTATTATGTACAAAATAACTAATCGCTATATGGTACAAAATCTAAAAGTAGTGTGTGATTTATGATGTGATTTTTAGCTCCTTTTAGATTAATTTCTATCTTAATGGAATGATGATATAAACCTAATGATCTTTACTCAAAAAAAACAATCTCAATGGGTTTGTTTTGAATTATCCATAATGAAAATTCAATCTAAGTACAAACCAATTATGATTTAATAATTTAGTTATTGACTTAGATATTATAACTAAATAATTTAGGCACAAACAAAGGTTGTTTGTCTGAAGTCCAGAGGAAATAAATATGATTTTATGTAATCAACTAGATGAATAAACAATTATTGTTGAGAAGTTTTGTTATGGAAAAATACTAACATAGTTAAGATTAAATTTATAAATATGTCGAAGTATTTGGAGTTAATTGGGTTTAAGCTAATAAGCTATTCCATGCGTGAATACCTAGCATATATTGAACAAGATACTCACAACAACGGTATCAGATTCCTTTAGGTACTCAGCTGCCTATTTTTTCTATCACTATTTTCCATATTTCATTATTTTTCATATTATCTATATTTGTGCACATGATATTTCCATATTTTGTTTTTTGTTGGTAAATTTCTAAGGAAAACTGTTTTTCTCAAGGTGGTTGTATAATATGAGCAGCTTAGGTTGGATACCTCCAACTTTTGTAGGACCATTTTTGTAACCATATTTTTAATATCTAAATAAAGACATTTATTATTATTTTTATTATTCTCATACTGTTTTCGATCGGTAAGACATGCTCACACCAGGCTTCGCTCCACTAACCCCTACAGGAGCAAGAATCAAAAACATATACCTACACATTTTGATTAAATTATTTCCGTATTGTAGCTTGAAATTTATTACCGATTATCTACGGTTAATTTGGTATTACCGATAATGAGATCTAAATTTGTGTAATTTAAATATCATTTTCAATTACGTTTAACTTTAAATTTATTGTCTTTTTTTTTGCATTAAGGATATTTTAATTTTTAACCTGGAACAGGTAATAGGCTCTTTCACTAAAATTTGAATACGTAATTTAAGCACAAAATGTTAAATGAAGGGCTATCTAAGAGCTTAAATGAGTTTTCTACAGGCACTTCAAATGTCTTTAAAACGCGCCAATTGATGAATGACGTATAAGGGATATAAGCATCTTCTAGCAATCAAATTTAAGAACACTCCATCGACAAAGTAAGAAACGTTACGGACTCTTGAATCCCTTAATATTTTGCTGACAACTCGGCTGATAATGAGTGGCAACACTGTCTAAATTCAAGTTGTGACGTAGTGCAGATAAATTTCGTATTTTTATTTAGAGAGTTTTCTTTTCTATTTATTTTCTCAACAAGCACTCCAAGTTTTTTAAAAGTAAGGGTGGGGAAAATTCTATTTTTAGTTGCTTTATCCATTTATGCCAATTTCAGAAATTACTGAAGGAGCCCATTTCCTAAGTAGAAGAAGTAGGAACATGGAGTTGGAAAGGGGAAGTCCGAGTTAGGTCCCAATTCTAGCAGGTATATTTAATTATGGTCCAGTTGGGTCCGGCCTAGGGCCTAATTGGGTCCACAATCATATTCAAATAATTGAATAAAACTGAATTTTAATAGGACAGTGTTGCCGATTTAGGATAGTTTTCTAAATTTCATGATAGGTACTCCAAGTAATTAATTGGAGGTTCGAGAGGGTGGTTTTACAGGTATATTTCTTATTGTTATAAGGTTGGTACCCCATGATTATTAAGTTCACTCGCTATTCAAATTCGTTTGTTGTTAATTAAGCTGCTTAAAGTGTTGTTAGTGAAAGTAGATAAGTTAGAAAAATGGAATGGACGCTACTTACTTTCAAGTGAGAAAGGAAAATCGCTGTTACTGATTAACAGGTACAAATTATGCTTCCAAAAAGACTTGAAAGGTGGTGTAAAAAGGTGGATATGTACAGGGTGGCCCGTTTAAGAGGGGCCTATACCTTATCTCGAAATCTACAAGGGCTGTAGAAAAAGTTTAAATACAAAAGTTGTTTCTAATAAAGTTATCTACAATTTCTTTGGTATTCTTCTTGTTGTCACTCTACTATATACAGGGTGGACAAATAAAATTTCACTTTTTTAAATGAAACACCCTATGTTCTAATGGACTTTTACATAGCCCTTTGAAAGACAAATCCAACGATATAATTCATATGTGTCTGCGATATACCGTTTCGAACTTATTAGCGATTATCTTCAGGATTTGGGGTAATTTTCAACAGTCATTCAGGCCTATGATGTATCCTCTCCTGTTATTCTAACAGTTGTGTTATAGCTCAAAATCTATAACTGTCTCTATTTTTACGTGTAGAATAAACAGTGACAGATAACTTAACATTGCTGTTGAAATAACAGAAAATGATACATCATAGGCCTAATTGTTACGTTACTCATAAACTTTTAATTTTTTTTTTTTTTGCATGATAGTTTTTACAAAATAATGCTCTTCCTAAGACTATATTCAAATTTTAAATATTTGTTTAAAAAACGCGGTGTTGCCACGTTTCGCCAAATGTTACACTTTTAATTTTTTTTAAATGGGACCTCCTGTAAATTTTCTAATTCTTGGATAGCCCTTCAAAAGGCAAATTCAACGATATACTGGAAATGGGTCTGTGACGCACCGTTTCGGCCTAATTGGCAATTATCTTCAGTTCTAGCACAATATTTCATCTGTCCATATCGTCTGCGCTGGGACTGTAACGAGTAGAGATACTTTGTCTATCTTTATAGGATTTCGAAAAGACAGATGAAGACAGCAAGTGCCATAGCGATAGGCATAACGATTTCAATCCGTTATAGAGGCCCAGCCCTGGATTCCTATTCTTGAAACAGGGGGGAGCAGCGTTCTCAGAACAATGAGGGTTCCATGTTCCGTCTTTCTCAATGATATGCAAATGATAATATAAGTAATAACGAAGGACCACTCATTCTCCTGGGAACGCTGCTTCCCTGGTTTCAAGAATAAGGATCCACGCGACTTGGATAGAAGAAATATTGTGCTAAAACTGAAGATAATTGCCAATCAGGCCGAAATGGTGCATCACAGACCCATTTCCAGTATATCGTTGAGTTCGCCTTTTGAAGGGCTATCCAAAAACTAGTAAATTTATAGGAGGTCCCGTTTAAAAAAAATTGAAAGTGTAACTTTTCGCGAAACGTGGCAACACCGCGTTTTTTAAACAAATATTCCAAATTTGAATATAGTCTAAGGAAGAGCATTATTTTACAAAAAAATATCATACAAAAAAAAAGTTTCAAAAGTTTATGAGTAACGTAACAATGACTGTTGAAAATTACCCCAAATCCTGAAGATAATCGTTAATAAGTTCGAAACGGTATATCGCAGACACATGTGCAGTATATCGTTGGATTTGTCTTTCAAAGGGCTATGTAAAAGTTCATTAAAACATAGGGTGTTTCATTTAAAAAATTGTCCACCCTGTATATAGTAGAGTGACAACAAGAAGAATTCTAAAAAATTGTAGATAACTTTATTAGAAACAACTTTTGTATTTAATTTTTTTTTACAGCTCTTGTAGATTTCGAGATAAGGTATAGGCCCCTCTTAAACGGGCCACCCCTGTACATGCAAAAAATCATTTTGCAAAGCCTTTGTGAAAACAACTGGGGAAAACCTCATAATCGAATCAACGTTGGAACATAATCATGAAAAACAACCAAATCATCTCTTAACTTGCCAAATTTTGTCTCAATCCGTCAAGAGAGCAGCTGTGGACAACCCCATAGGCGTATCCAGGGAGGGGGGGCTGCCCGGCAGCCCCCCCCCCAAGGCATGTCTATACTATTTTTTTCAAGAGAATATTTTATATATTATAACCATTATTTAATTTTCCTTTTCATAATAATTATTCTGCATACTCTGTACTTTCCATTATTATTCGTGAATATTCTCAATACCTATTTTTTTATGGTGCAGTTTATGTTGGTACGTACTTTGTTGAATTTTCCTTAATAGAAATAAAGTTTATTTCACAATATCCTAATAAGATTTTTCTATGACTACAGTGGCGGCTGCAGCAAGGGGGTCAGTGCTTCACTTTAATCACCGTAAACTTCTGCCATACTTCCTTCCTCAGGAGAGGAAGAAAAAAAAAAGCGAATATTTTCAAGTCAACATATATTAGGCACCTTGCATGAAAAATTGAATTGATAATTGTTTATTGCAAACTGTAGGAAATCGGAAAAAAATCTATAGGTACGTATTTTTTTATTTTGTCCAAATATGAATATTCCGAAAGTTATACAAAGATTAAGTTTTATATATATATATATATATATATATAAATATACTCATCATGGAGTGACGTCATAGGATATCAAAAATAAACACATTTCAAAGCGTTGTATCTCTGTCAAAAAGAAAAAAACACGTGTTGACTTATTTTTCGTTGACAAACGAAATCAGCAATAAATAAATTGTGCAAGGCGCTTTCAAAAAACAATAGTCGCGTAACGTTTGGGTACGTTACAGGTAGATTCCTTACAAAAATTGAGCGCGGCTCTAAAAAAATTTTTCGCCTATGCGGCGCTTTTTTTTATCAGCACTTTTTCTTAGCACAGCTCCCCCTAAAACAAAATCCTGGATACGCCAATGGACAACCCTACGGAGAAACCCATGAAGCTGATACGTTAAGAATTATATAAATCCGATCTTGAATCAGTAACAACACATGACATTACCAGAGCAAGAAAAAATGCTTATCACGCCAGAACATAGATTTTTTTTTAATTCCAACATACCCAACTATATTTTGTTAGGAATTCACAACTGGTGCGGCAACAAGGCCATTTTTTCCGATTTTTTCCTAGAATCTAAGATATCTTCTTCGGTCCCAATTCGGCCCATACCTTTTTAAAGGCAGGTAAGTGGATAAAGTTTGGGACCCAACTCGGATGCGTCCAGTTGGAAAGTGGCCGTTTTCTTCTAGGTATGTTGGCCACCAAAATAATGGCGGTATAGCCAAATTAAAACCTGTCTATTTGGTGTGCAAACACCTATTGAAAACTGGCTTCCCTTCTAGTTGCATAGCAAAATAGCGCTTCCCTACTCTCATGTGCAATAGGCATTTTTCCGAAGAAAATATATAGGTATATATATATTTGCAGAGTATCTTGACCGGAGAATGTATAAACAATGGTAGTTTCTTGGGGTATCGATCGATGTGAAGAGCTAGGAAAGAAAACTCTCTTTTTCCACTAAGCCGACCTTTGGGCAATTTTATTTTGCCTTCGTCAGGGCTACGACAATATATAAAAGTCTTATCATTATGAACAATTAAAAATATGACTAGGACATACAAATTAAACTATAACTTAATTGCAAAGTGAGAATTTATAGTTGTAAAGCTTTCAATTTGTCGGAGAATTGTTATGTTTTTACTATCAAAATAATTATTTTTCCATATTTTTTAACATTTTATATTCTGTCCAGTTAAATATGAATCAAGCCTTTAATCAGAGTTTAAAAAACTACAACATATCCAAATTTCAGAAAAGTCTGTCGGAGATCCATTTGCCATAAGAGAAGTGCCTCTTCCTTTCTCTATTTTTCCATTTTTTCGTCTCATATTTTGTCTATTCCTGGCTTTCGTTTTCTTCTATAGTTTTCTAAATAGAGAAATTTTAATAACTTGGAATAGATATAAAATACTTTGTGTCTATTTGTCTACCCATGTTGCGGAAATAACCCACAACAGGTTTAATTATTATTATTTCTAATTTAATATATCTCAATCTCTATTATTCACCATAAAAATAATATTCTAAAAATAGATGCTATTGCTGGATTATTTATCCTGTAAAACCGGCAACAACAACTCTTTGAACCAATAAAATTGCAGGTTTCTTCATTACCTTATAAGGTAGTGAACCGTTCTCGACGCTGTGATTGGTCAGCCGCCACACAAAATTCCTAGTTTTGCGACCTGCTCCCTGGCAGAGCTAGTCGACGCACATTCTTCTGTACTATTAAAATAAGCTCTCGCGCCCTCTGATGCTTCCCAGAAGTCAAACCCCCTAAAACCCCCGTTAGTACGCGCGATTTATAGTAAAATACTACTCTCTGTGTCTCAAGGCCTGACATGGTCTATACTATTGATTGCAATTCATGTAATCAACCCCTAATTATTGCAAGTCACCTCGGACGAGCAAAAATCTCTCGTAAGCGCCTGTTTTTGGCTCTCTGTCTCACTCTCGTCGGGCTTCGACGCGCCTGCATATCGTTGTGTTTTCATCTCAGTGGAAAATTCCCTGGCTGCCAGTGTGAATAGTGATAAATGGATAAATAATCACCTTGTAGATTTATCTGCATGAACCGGATTAAGCAAGTAAGACTGTTACAATTTCTCTAACAGTCAAAAAATAAATACTGATTAGTGATTCCCTCGAAATGCACTATAAATTGAAGTGTCTTCTAACGCTTATGCAGAAATTTGTTTTCACACTCGTGAAATTAACATTTGTACATTTGTATATAGAAACTGAGCATATATAAAGACTTTTCTCGCACATATTGTTTACAGACTTCCGCAGAAAAGTGCTCAAATTGTTAACTCTCAATAAACAAATGAACTTTCAAGGATCAATAAACATTTTGTGATTGCACTGAAATAATTAAAGTCGACGAATTATTTATGTTGTGCTCTCGTGCATTTAATTAGTTAGTTTGTGTTCTCGTTCATTGAACATTTAACCATAAATGATGTTATTATCATTATCAGATTTCCCTACCCTTTATAAATCAAGATACTCATTTACTTTAAATTAGTATAAAATTTGTAGCTCGACTGGACGTCCAATTAGGAATTTTTAGATAGGATTTCATTGCTGACTATACCGAATTACTTTCATTTATTAATTAAATTGATAATCATTCTATTTCAGCGTTTTATTTGTATAAATGAGAATCAAGGCACCCCTAACCCAATACAAGGCTTAAATGATCCAATACCTAGTGGTTAATTTTTCCAGTCAGTCAAAGTAAAAACTTTTGGCATTCCTGGTGCGGTTTGACTAAAGCCCAAAAAGGGGCAATAGCTAGTTCCGTCACAACCCATTTCTCTCGAATTTCTTCTCTCTACTTCTCAATTTTTTCAGTTCATTTTTATCTATTTCCGGCTTTTGAAATTGTCGAAATAAAAAAATTCAGAAGCCTGGAATAGAAAAAACAATAATTTCCATTTATCTACCATTTTTTTCTTATATTTCTTCTCTCCATTTCTCAATTTTTCCTGCTCAATTTTTTTCTGTTCCTGGCTCTTAGATTTGTCGAAATAAAAAAATTCAGAAGAAGAAAATTCTTTTTGAATTAGTCATGTTCTTGAAATTACAACTTTACCTAGGAATAAAACGACAACGCCAATGCTGATTTGTGACGTAAACCAATCAAAAACATTTCTAAAAATTTAAAATATTGATGATTTCCAATTTTGAATTCCTGATACAATAATCATTTATAGAGCTTCATATTTAACAAGGGCCTTTCAGATAGGTACTCTTTCTCATGGAAATATGAACGAGATTCTTGAACAAAAATTTTGTGCAAGTACCCTATTGCTAAAGGATTTTAAAAGATTGCCTTTTATTTATACCGTTATATACTCCTGGACAAAATTATCGCACCACTGCACATAAGCATCACCATAAGCAGTGGTGCGATAATTTTGTCCAGGAGTATATAATATAAGAACTTTTTAGTCGATTCTTCGAAAGTACGTTTAATTAAAGTCTAGAGTCTAGAGATATGGCAACAATAAGTTCATTTTCTTCGAAAGTTCATTTCTAGTTTTCTACAACATAACTTGTTGAATGACCTTGTCTAAAGCAAACTTGGTATTTAATCGATATCATTTAACCATGAAACTTTCGTATGCCTATATATAATTTATGTCAGTAGGTTGTTTATTCTCCATATCACATTTATTGAGTTCTTCTTTCAGACTAAACCTTTAAAACGAGATAGAAGAAGATGATAGATCCATCTTCATCTGAGGAAGATAGTGATGAAGAGCATGGATCTGGACATCATGTGGGACACCATCCACCCGCGCATCATCCTCATCACCAAACGCATTCACACCCGCCGGTAAGCATTTATTAGATAGGTACATACATTTCGGATCGTTATTAATGTAATTAATATGCATACAGTCCCTAAAACTATCGATTTGAAATTTGCTTGCTGATTAGGAGGTTCATATTTCAGGTTACAAGATGCTATAATTATGTCACTTAATCAAATATTATTTTTATTCTATGTAACATTTTAGGATTAACTGATCCTTTGTTACCCGTCCAGAATAGGAATAGACTAAAAAAATTAGCGAGTCTGCTAGAACTCGAGGCACTGATGTATAAACATCTCGTGAGCGGTAACCATGTTTTTCCATTAAATCAATTATATTATTCTTTAAAAATAATAATAATTAATTGTAGATTGAGTCATTTAATAATTTTTGTTCTATTTTATATAATATACAGTGTCATTACTTAAGTGTGCAACATATGGGATATTTTTTTAGTAATAGCACAATCAAAATACAAACAAGGCCAAAAGTTGGTGCATGTCTGATAATCATATTAGGTGCACTTAGAATGGTTGCAAGTCAAACAGCATACAGGGTAGCTCAAAAAGTTTCAAAATTGTAGAAATATTTACTTAAATAAAATAAAACTTTTGCACTTTAAGGAGAGTTTTTTTAATATGGCTATTATCATTAGTAATGTTTTAACTTGTTAAAAAAAAAAAATTGCAACATTTTAAAGTTGTGTTGAATATCATTGCAACAAACATGAATTTTGTGATTCCATAAAAAATTAAAAATCTAAGTTAATTTTACAAATGTGCTTGAATTTGAACAAAGTTATGTAAAATTGATTTGATTTTAATTAATTTATGGAAGTATTAAGGGCGGAAATAAAAAATTAAAAAAATATAGAAATTATAGATTTTTTTCGAAAAAAAAATTTTAGGAGGCTATGTTTTGGTATTTAGGCATAACTTTTAATTCCAAACAACTTTTCTCTATAACATTTTGCTGAATTTTCCAAAATAAGGGTACTTCACAGTATAATTTTGAGATTGTTTGAGCTACCCTGTATGCTGTTTGACTTGCAACCATTCTAAGTGCACCTAATATGATTATCAGACATGCACCAACTTTTGGCCTTGTTTATATTTGGGTTGTGCTATTACTAAAAAAATTTCCCATATGTTGCACACTTAAAAAATCACACTGTATAGGTACCTATCACGTATGTGTATATATATCTAATGGATAGTTATATTTTCAAGTAATTGGTAATAACCGGTAGAATATTCTATTTCGACCACAAAATTTACCGGCGTACGACAGATTGATTTACGACGAATTGACAGTGACCCGGTAATAACGTGGTTCAGAAAATTGAATTCAAAATACTTTAATAATACCGCACGGTACAACATATTTATAGTAAAATTCTTCAGTAATACTACTGGCAGCTTCAAGCGGAGTGGATTAATTCAATGCACAAATTTATAGCGATCTACTATATGAACATCATCGACATGAAAATCTAATGCCACCTTAGGCCGTAAGCGCTGAAGTAGCTGCGCACTTATCACTGCGCATGGGTTATGATGTCACATCCGCTTTCACATTGTCGTTCTATTTCCCGAGATTTACCCTCAAATGCCATCCGCCAATCGATGTGCATTGGACAGCGATCAAATTTGCCATTTCCATTTATACAAAATAATATAATAACATTTATCATTTTAATTCCAATACACTTCACATTATATTTTCCCTAGCGTACAGAACGGTACGCATCTAAACATTCCGGTATAGGATTCAGCACCTAGGCATATTTCATTGGTCCGTTTGAATTCGGACCGCCAATTAATGCGGAGTGCCGAAATCCCTACTCGAATGTTGAACGGTGCTGAGCCTCAGGTCGGAATGGTATATACATATAGATACTATGTGGAGTGCCGAATCAAAGGTCAAAATGTTAAACAGTGCCCAGCTGCAGGTTGGAATGTTACTCCGTTAGCGCGGCACAAAATCAACAAAAAAACTTTATTTACTTTTTGTTACACATCTAGTTTATTTCAACGATACATTTCAAAAAATCTTGGACAATAATTTGCAGTGGCTGATCCAGGGGGGGGATTATAAAAACCTGAATCCTGGCAAATTAGAATAGAAAATTTTGAAAATAAATACCCTAATTTATCTATCTTTTTTTTTGTATCTGTGGTGCTTAGTTTAATTAAGATATCAATTGAAGCCAGGCAACAGCAGTTTTTGGATTTTCCTTTCTTATTATTTCTTTGATCCACTTTTTTATAAGCACTATGATGGCATACAAAAACATATCTAAAAAATGTATTTTCCAAAGTCTATTCGCATCCAAGAAGATTCTACGTCATTGAATTGACATTGAACACAAACCTGCATTTGAATTCGTTATAATTATTTTTCGCTGACTTCACATTTCAATTCGTGTATGTTATATCACTATACTCTTCTATCCATTACTTTATATCGTTTTCCTCCAAAATGTTGGCTCAGTAAATTTGCTCACCACTCTGAAAGTGTTTAAATGATCTAGGCAAACTCATCTTGCATGTTTAAGCACAAGAACACATGAAGCAACGGCGAAATAAACCGCATCCGCCGCAAAATTGTAGCTAAGAGGAACACGAAGGAGATGGACAGCTGATTTAATATAAAAACCGCGCCAAACGCATGGCAACATTCGGACCTGATACTCAGCACTGTTTAACATTTTGACCTTAGATTCGGCACTCCACATGGCTGTTGCTAATGGACCATTCTGACCTGAGGCTCAGCACCGTTCAACATTCAAGTACCGATTTCGGCACTCCGCATCAATTGGCGGTCCGAATTCAAACGGACCAATGAAATATGCCTAGGTGCCGAATCCTATACCGGAATGTTTAGATGAGAACGGTACACTCTTGTGCTATATTCAATTATTGAGGTGTTAATACTTAACGTCAACTGTTCGTCTGAGTGCATCTCATGCAGTGTGCATTGTGACTTGAACCTTAAAACAATAGACGTATTTAATTATCAGTATAACCTGAAATGATTATCAGAACACTACGGCAATTAATTTCACTCAGTATTTAGCCCTAAAATCATATCCCTTAATCTATTTAAAATTTAATTCTCACTTGACTATTGTTATTCGTTTTAATGTATCTGCCTTCTTCGGAGAACCATTTTTTTTTCAACATTGATCGAAGATCAAGTGGTTTTGAACCAACCAAATTTAAGGTTTTTACGCGTGAATTCGAAAGCGATGTTTTTTTTTTTTTTTCAATTAACGTTTTCAAATGTGTCAGTGACCATGTTATTGTTACATCCAGAGCACACCTGAGGCTCCCGTCAAAATCAACTCTTGAAATTCTAAAAATAAACTCCCAATTATGGAAATATAAACAATTACATCATCATACAACAGGCAAGAGACATGGGGCAGGCAAAGTTTAAGAACTTTGAGAAAGTTTCAAATGGGGGAGTATGTAGAAAGGAACATCCCATTTAGGTCCATTAAAACAAGCCAGCGAAAGCCATGGATCAATCAAGGGCTGTTTAGGAAAAATAATAAAAACCGCAAGTTGTGAAAATTACGACGACTCTCAAACAACGGATGTGATTTATCTTGATTATAAAAGAAAGCATTCGATCAAGTTCCCCACAATCTGTTGGTTGGTAAATTAGAACACACACTACTTATTCGTGGACCACTTTTGACACGAATCTCTGATCTACTGAAAGATCGTTCATACCAAGTGCGTGTGGATGTCAAGCAAGCAACTAGTTATAGTAGTGGAGTTACTCGGGGGTCGCTGAAAGGGGCATCACTATTCGCATACCTGTTCAATCTTGTTGAAATCAAAATAAAGAATTTTGCTGATTACGGAAAACTCTACATAAACCTTAATCTTAATGATGCTCAACTTCAAGAAAATCGGGTTGCAAGATGGTCAAGGACATGGGAAATGAAGCTCTATGAAACGAAATGCACAGTTCCTAGAATTAGTCCGGTCTGGGGGGGTTTATTTGAAATCCGTGCAAATCTGTCACATGCGACGCAGTCGGTCGAAATATGTGCGTCGACGAATTCTGAAAATTCACGATCGGCTTATTTGAAAGCTTGTGCATTTTGTATATCATGAATTTTCAAATTTGCACTTCTCAACTTGGCAACGTGTGCTGTAAAAGATTCTAACCAATGATATTGTTAGAAAATTTCATATAACCAACCGGAACGATGCATTGAAATGTCAAATTTGAAATTGTTTAATGTAAACAACTTTTTTGAATATTTCCGTGCATACAGTTTCGTGTTTAGTTGGAGTTTTGCGTTTTTTTGCTTGATATTATCTTAGTCTATTCTTTCTATAAGTGTAGGCAATACCGCGAAAAGGATGGAAAGTGCGGGGGCAAGTGCCAATAAGAGAAGGTCTGGATTTGTTACCAAAAAACAGAAAGAACTGTTGGTCGAATTTTTGAACAAATATCGGGCCCTTTTGTCGAGAAAATTTTCGAACTGCTTTTCATGGAAGGAATCTCGACGAAACATTCTTTTGAAAGTCGAAAGTTTTTTATAAGTTCCCCGTCATTACCTAAGCATTGTTAATGCATGCATCTATTCTTGGATTTCTGAAGCCTTTGCGGTTATGGTTATACAATTCGGCCCTTTCTAGAGCATTTAAATTAACAATATTTTTGAATTCCATGAGGCCAAGATTCCATGAGGCCAAGAATATTCTTGGTCGACTAAACTTAAATTTTTAATCAACTTTCGCGTGCAATTTGGAAATGCACGAACTCTAAAGGTGACGCATGTCAAATGCAATCTTGCGTCAACGAATTTAGCGAAATGCGTCGACGAAAGTTTCAAATAAGCCACATGTGCATTTTTTTGTATTTCACCGGTAAAAATTGCGACTTAGTCAGACGTATTTGAATTGCACGTTTCAAATAAACCCCCCCTGGTTTGTATTCCCGTGTGCTTTTTCGGTATGCAAGCAAGCGGTTTTTTTTAAAGGAATTCTAATGCCTT